GTATTACCAATATTATTGTCTTTATTTCCTTACCAAGAACTTCAGTTGTTGCCTGACTACTTCCACACATATTACTAGCAGTGCAAGTATAGTCTCCAATAGACCTGGCCACAACATAAGTACCATTTACATAGGCTCCTTCAGGAGTGTACCAAAAGCGGGAAGTATTAGACTCCGGCACATTGATGAATTCTAGCATGCAGACAAGATTGACTGAAGAGCCCTCACCGATTCTTGAGATACAAGTCCTCTTGCCCACAGAGACTGGGGTACTACCAGGATTAGGAACAATACCAGAAGAAGACCATATAGTAGGAGGCCCTGTAAAATATAATTAATAGACATGAGAGAATTAGCATTTATGATAGTTTAAATTGTGCAAATCAATACATTAAGTACATTTTAAAGTTGCTCATAAATCTTGTCAAAGGCTCTGGTATAGGGACTTTGGGCAAAAATGACAAAAAGAAAATTCTTCAATTTTAATAATTCTTTAACAATTTTTTTACACATATAAGAACATGTATATAAATACATGTTGTTATGTTGTGTAAAATTTTTTAGCTCATTTCAATCAAATTTGAATTTTGTAAAAATTTTAAAGTTGCTCAAAATTGCCCTGTACATGGTTGTTGGCCAAATTTTGTCAAAAACCAATAGTAGAGAATTCCACAATTTTAAATTTTTTGATACATACATGTTCTCATGCTGTGTAAAAAGTTTGAGCTGATTCCGATCAAACTTAGATTTTTTTACAAATTTTCAAGTTGCTGTATGTGTCACAATAAAGTATATTGTTGCATTGGTGCTCCAAAACTCACCATCGATGAAAATAGTGTTAGTGATAGATTCACAGGCATTAGTTATGACACAAGTGTAGTTACCGGTGATAGTAGCTCTCTGTCTAAACCCTGTATTACCACTTTGAAGTATACTATTGACATACCATGCAACAGTACTGCCTGGTGCAGGGTCACCACAAGAAGCAAATAGATCATTATCACTGCGTCGGCAAGAAGAAACAATAGTACCATCACCTTTATGAACAGTCATTGTCCCATTTAGTGGAGGACCTAGAAATTGAAGTTACAGTTTCATCAAAATTATTGCATGCAGGGTAAAAAAGCAAAACTTACTAGACAGTATCTTTGTTGTTTCAGAATCATTTCCAAAACGATTTTGAAGGACACAGTTTAATGAACCTTGCATATTGTTCTCTTGTAGTAGTCCAGGGTAGATATGTATCATATTGTTTAATCCAGTCTCATTCATAAATTGGCTTATGAAAAAATAAGCATGATTTATGGGTTGATTATTAAATGTGTAAGATGATACTGGCTCAGGATTAATGCTTCCAATCTGAGCACATACCACTCTGACCTCAAATACTGGTGATTGTGGGTCAATGCAAATATTGGTTCCGATTCTAATTGAATTTGAAGGAAACATTCCAGCACGATTGATCTTTGCTGGGAAGCCTGAAAAATAATTAAAATCTACTACACCTGAAATAGATCTAATTATATACCTATGATATTAATATCAGCTTTATAAATATTGTGATCATTGTATTCACAAATGAATTCTCCAACACTTGATCGTTCAATTCTTGAAGCTAGTGTTGGATTAGCAACACGTAGCAACACACCATTATTTCCAAAGATTTCAATCCCATTACTACATGCAGGAATTATAGATATATATAGATGCAATTAAAATATTGCACTATACCTAGGGGTCCCTGGTATGAAAGTGAGAGGATTAGCATCAGATTCCAGATCACCATCAAAGTTCCTTCTTCTCAACTTCCATATTGCATTCAAATTGCGTCTTTCAAGACTTGGCGTTACCAAATGGCCACAATCCAGTGTCACACTAACATTCTCACGTACTCTAATATCAATTGGAGTGGAACCATTTGGCAGCTGAACATAAATTTTACCACCTACACAATGCATTATTACAAACCAGCTCACACAACATGCATTCATAAAATTAAAGCATATGATTAAAGCAAGCAAAAAGGCTGGGTCTAGTCTGGGTTTTGGTGGTCTTAGTGGCCTGGTGTTATAATAAACCATATGATTACTTTCAATGGCCTGTCTTCCATCTACAGGAACACTTAGTGTGCCATTCCAGTTATATTCCTCTGTGTAGTTGTTGTTTTGGGCAAAAGTAATACCAAACACAGCAACCTGTTCAAATCATAATAATAATAATAATTATTATTATTATATTCATACCAGTACTGAGGCAAATAAGACCAAACTCTGCATGTTTCACCTCCTGTTTTTACTGTAAAACAAGCAACAAATCTCAACTTGCTATGCTTGCAGCTAAAAGAACCGCAGATTGGTATTTTAATTTGCACGGAATGTAGGCGTGGTTTATTGAGCTATTTTAACCCTTTTAACACAGGATTTTCGTGACCAACACAACTCGAACACAACTGTGCCAAGAATAAAACTGAGCAGTCGGCACATAAAACAGCTCTTCTCCACTTGTTTGTGGCAAGAAGGAAAGAAAAGACATGTTTTCCTTTTGCTCTAACCTACTTCACTGCTTCATAAGCCTATCATGTGTTGTAAGTAACCCACAGTAGGCTAATCATTATTGTACCTACCTATTTTAAAAGGTAACATTTATTGCAACAGCAGCTTCTGGTATCCTCCTGATACTAGCCTCAGTGGAGCCGAGCAGCTCACTAGGAGAAGGTGGCCCGTATGCTCTTGTACCAGGGATAGTCTTTGTGTCAGTTGCTATAGTGACAGTACCATTAGGGATCTATGGATGCTTAAGTGTTCGTAACGATAGCTCAAAAAGATTAGTAATAGTCAGTTTATAATAGATTGTTGTTTATTTTTGTTTGTTATGCATGGGACATTATGTCACGTAATAATATTATTTATGTTTATTTTTTTCTCTAGTATACTGTTATTGCAATTCTTGTCTCAATTGTCATTCTTTTGTGTTCAAGTGTCCTCTTCACTTTTACTTACACTAACCTGGTAAGACAGTATCATATTCAGCATTATTAGTTATGAGTAAGGCGTACATTATTCATCTTTTGTCTTTTATAATTACCACCTCATTCTCTCTCTGACATATTGTCTTTCTTTGTCTCTTCATTTATTCTGTTAATTCAAATTCTCTCACTCTTTCTCTCTCTCTTTTACTTCTTCTCTTTTACTTCAGGTTAGTAACAACCTAAACTCCACTTTATGGTCTGAATTAAGGAAGCCCAACAATTCAAATGATACCAGCAAGATGTTTGATATACAGACTAAAGTAAGTCTTGTTCTCTCTCCCTCCCTCCCTCCCCCTCTCTCTATACATGATATGAAGTTGAGTTGTATGCTTGGAACATACTATGTACCCACATCTGCCCCATTGCTCATCTTAATTTGATAATATTCCCATGAATTCCCTCACTACAGTACTCTAGTAGTACTAATACCAAGTACTCATATTCTCTATTGTACTGTTAGTGTGTTCCTGCTGTTAGTGTGTATGTGTGTACTACTTGTGGTGGTTGCTATTAGAATATGACAAGAGACACTTACTGTAGTACTCATTGAATGTTCCCATTCCTACTAGTACTGTGGGATCCACTCAGTCACTATGATAGAACAGAGTATAAATTAAAAAATAATTTTATGTATAAATAAAAAGCTCACTGTAAGCCTTATTATGTATGTGAATTAGCATTCGAATTTTTGAGAAACTTTAAAAATTCATAAAAACAATAATTTTGATTGGAATCAGCTGAAAGTGTCTATGCAACATAAGAACATGTATGTGTATTAGGAAAAATTAAGAAAATGGAGAATTCTCTCCTTTTCATTTTGACGAAATTCAGCCAACGACCCTGTACTATAGTACAGGGACTTTTTGCCCAATTTTTGAGCAAATTAAAAAATCCGTAAAAAATTCAATTTTGATTGGAATCACCTCAAACTTTCTATGCAACATAAGTACATGTATATGCATCAGAAAAAAAATATAAAAGTTGAGAATTCTCACTTTGTCATTTTTGATGAAATTTGGCCAATGAGGCAATGACCCTGTACTATAGTACAGGGACTTTGGTCCGATTTTTGAGCAACTTTAAAAATTATAGAAAAATCCAATTTTGATCAGAATCACTTAAAAACTTTCTCGTGATCCCTACCTGTACCTTTTTACTGTTTAGAATAATAATATCATGTGTACATTATTTATTTATTATGATCTATTTCAATATTATTTACATTTATTATTTAAAGATATACATGTATGCAGGGTTGTCACCTAAGTGAAACCCTTCCAAAAATTGTAGAAGAAGATTACGAACTCGAGATCTAACCCCTTCCATCTGTTCAATCCTTTAAATACCAGTTAAACTATGTGAAGCTATTGTGGGTTGCCCCTAGTTGTTATGATAATGTAATATTAACATAGCAACTGGGGGCAACCCACAATAGCCTCACATAGTTTAACTGCTATTTAAAGCTTGAATGTAGAATGGGGATGGTGAAAAATCAAGTGAAATTTGAAGTCTACAAATTTTTGGAAGGGCTTCACTCAGGTGACAGCCCTGTATATTATTTTATTGTTATAACAAAATAAATGAATGATGTACACATTTAATATCACCAAAAGTGGCTCTAGAGTCATTCATTTTTTGCATTTTTTCATACATTTGCTACATGCATGAG